CCCCCCCCCCGATTTTTGCAGGACACTTGCTATTACCGTTGCCTAGCTTTGCCCTTTTTCTGGCCCAGGGGACATGCTTTGAAACAAACCATTCAGCTGCAATTGCCTATTGCTTTGTTTTCTGAGAAAGTTGTGGGGATCATCTGTGGCCAAGAAGCATTTTTTGGAAAGTAACCTGTCATAGGCTTGCATGTGAATGGCAGATGCAGTCCACCTTCCCTTCAGCTCTCAGAGAAGAGAGACAGATGTACTTTTGTATAGAGATATTTCTCTGACAGCTCAAGGGAAGATGGACTTAAAGCCATTCTAAAGCATTTCTTGTTACCCCCAAGCATCAGTACCTGGATAGCTTTTAAAGCTAATGGATTGTATGTAGTCATCTAAAGCGTGAAGGTCTGTGAGTTCAATTCCTGGTAAAGGGTTTGAACCTCAGAGTAACATCTGGCTACCCACGTCTGAAGAGTCTCAATAAAGATGAAACTGATCATGTGGCCAGTTCTGTGAGTTGGCAGGTACTCAGCCCCCAAATCCTTATTTATTAGCTGTTATACTAGAATTTGACATCTGGGCAAAACAATGATTGTTTTCAAAGCAATAAGAACTCTGCTTTTTCCTCACTACAGTCCTCGTTTAGCGACTGCCTCATTTAGCAACTGTTCACAGCTATGACATGGTGAAAAAGTAATGTTGTGATCAATCTTTGCATTTACTACCTTCACAGGTCTGTAAAGCAAAGGAAAGGTGAAGCAAGCTCATAAGTACAGTCATGGTTTCACTTAGTGATCACTTCACTTAACAACTGAATTGCCGGTCCCACTTGTTGCTAAATGAAGATAACCTGTATAGCTTTCTTGCAATAACATATCTTGAATTGTATTTCTGCCAGTACCTTCAAGTTGTTTTTTAAAAACCTGTTCAGCACTGGCCCAGGTCACAGAAGCCATATTCCTGCAGCAAGCAAGTTGCAGTATGGTCCTCAGGCAGGGTTCCTGCTCGTTTTCATGATGGTGAATGGTAGAATCATTGCTTTGTTGCTAAGTTTGCCTCCCAGACCAATAATCCTTATTCTTGCCTTGGCCAACAAATAAAACTAGAATGGCTGGCATATGCCACTTGGCTTCCTCCATTGGCCATGCTGGCAGCGGGTGACAGGACCTGCACTCCAGCACATTTGCAAGGCGATAATTCAGGAAGACTGAAGATGTGGATTCTTCGCAACTCAAATGACACACATGTAAGTAGCTGACATTTATAAGCCCCTCAGAGGACTACAGTCTTAGCAGGTGACAGCATCTGGCTGACCTTCTGTACTATTGTCAGGAGAGTTGTCAAAAGGATCAATTTGAGGACATCTTGCTTGTTTTACCATAGAACATGATCCAGCAAGGGAGAATCCGAAGCATGTTTGAACCCTCCATTCAGTTAAAATATCAAGCATGAGAAACTTCTGGCTCTCTTGCTTTCATCCATCTTAATAACCAGCTGTAGTACAACATCTGGAGGGCCACCTTATTTTCACGCCCTGCTTAACATTTGTTCAATAGAGGCCATTTTTAAAGAGGGGAGAGATGAATAAACTTGTACAAGTTTAATAAAGAGGTGGATTCAGATGAGGTGCCTCCAGACTCTTCTTCAGACATGTGTACCCTACATTGCGCTTCGATGCCACTGAAGCTGAGATTGGCTTCTTCCAACTTCCTCTGTTGCAGTATATATGGGAGCACCCCAAAGAATATGCCAAACCACAACGTATTTTTAATCATTTGTCAATTCCTACTCTTCAGTAGTTTCTGCTCTTCTCTAGCTGCCCCTCATGACTTATAACTTCCCCCACTTTTGCACAAGCCAGTAGCATGAGAAAACTTAAAACACTTTGAACATATAATGTTTGTGTATATGAATATATTGCTCATTGTGAAAGGGTAAGCTGGTTGATGCCTGGTTAACACTTGGATGGGAGACCACGAGGAGATCCCAGGGCTAGCGAATAGATTGGGAAGTTGAAAAAAAAATCTTAGGTGGTAGTGGCAAAACCACTAGCCATATCATTGCCAAGAAACTATAAAGTCACCATAGTGTACAACATGAGAGAAACTGCAAGTGCTACCTGTTATCAGAACTACCCCAGGTCTAGATCAAAACTGCTGCAACTTAATCTCATGACAGACATCCATCCCGGCTTTCTTTATAGTAGAACTAAAATGGAAGCAACTTGGCCACGTTGGTAAAGCAATCTTTTTCTGATCTTTTCCAAACTCTGAATAATGGTGATAATATATTTTTATATCAAGGAACAGAAGGTTAAGATGTAGAATCCTACAGAATCAACATAATTGTACTGTGTTACTGCTTGCTTGTTTAAAGCAGTGTTTTTCAAACTCAGCAACTTTAGGCTGTGGATTTCAACTCCCAGAATTCCCCAGCCAGCATGGGAATTCTGGGAGCTGAATTCCACACATCTTAAAGGTGTTAAGTTTGAAAAACTCTGGCTTAAACAAAGAACTTTTGCAATTGCATTGAAGACTATAAGCATGCCTTCCAAAGGACTAATAGTCTGCAGCAGATGAACACAAGCCAGCAATAATTTGTTCTCTGCAGAAACCACCTGCCTAGAATCTCTGTTTAGTGCAATCTCTTTGTACATCTGGGCTCTCTTATTCCTATGGTTGCTTGGGTTCTTATAAAAAGAGAATTCCTATTCATGTTTGGTGGTGGATAGATTCTTCAGATCTCAACAAGATTAAATATTTATTCATTCCCAGGCACAGATCTGTGCTTTGCCAGATGGTAAATTAGCACCCTCCATAGATTTGAAGCTGCACTTTTGCCTAATATGGATGGAAGTAGGCTACTTTGTCAGAGAGGCAGACAGTGCGATAGTTACACAGACAGGCCAAAAGCAATTCTTCCCAGTTTTATATCCCACATGTGCAAAATAAACAAGGGTGGCCTAGGACCAATTGGTCACCACCACTCAGTACTCACCTATTAAAAAATAGGGGGGGGGAGGTTTGTAAGCAGCTTAATACTGAAATGTCACAATAAATAAAAAGTAGTTTGTCCAGTTAGAATGCAAGGCAGTGAATGAACGCAGCAGTTTTAAGTGTGGCTAACCTTGATGCTAGCTGTGTGGATTATATTTAAGTTGCAGGATGCTACAGATAGTCCTCGCTTAATGACTGCCTCATGCAGCGACCGTTCAGAACTACAATGGTGTAAAAAAACCAGCTTTGTGACCAATCCTCTCATTTATGACCATCACAGTGTCCCACAGTCACATGATCACCATTCGCATGCTTCACAATTGGCTTCTGACAAGCAGAGTTAATGGAGAACACAGAAGTCGCGGTCATATGATGTCTCACTTTACGACTGGTGAGTTGCTTTATGACTGAATGGGAAGTGACATTCAGTAAGCCTGTCATGGTCACATGATTTTCCGCTTAGCAACCACAGCATTTTGCGACAGAGTTGCCGGTCCCAATTGTGGTTGCTAAATGAGGACTACCTGTATCATAGTGTTTCGTGCTCTCTTTCCCAAATATGAGCTTCCCCTGTGAAAGCTAGGAGAACTGAAGTGTTAAGCATTTGCCATCCCAAAGAAGAAGGAAGATATGGCTCTGTCAAAAGTCTTTTCATTGCTTTTTAATTCCTAAAATACATATAAAATATAAAAGCCATTGGAAGAAGGCGAAAGGGGACGTTGTGGAAAACATCAATTTTGGGACTTGCAACCAGATTGCCCAGCAGAAACTACTGGAGGATCAGGACTGTTGAAGAAAGATGGTACACAGGCATAATTATGGCAACATTTCTTAAACTGCAGATTTTTAGATAGATGTAGGCAGCCTACAGTCCCTGTCATTCTCAGCCCGGTGGTTGGGAATAAAGGGAGATACCTTTTGAAAAAGCTGGAAAGAAGGCAAACAAGATCTGCCCAGAATAGACTGGATTAGTTAGGCAACCTGAAATACTTTAGTATGAGTGGGACAAATAAATACTTTTGTTAATGTACGTGCACTGAACAGGGAGTCACAACTGGTTGTAACTCACTGAATAGAGTTACTGAGAGCTACAGGTAGTCCTCATATAGTGACTGCCTTGTTCAGCAACCATTCACAGTTATGACGGTGGTGAAAAAGTAACATTGTGACCAATCCTTGCATTTACAACCTTTGCAGGTCTGTAAAGCAAAGGAAAGCAGAAGTAAGAATGTGAGCACAGTTGCAGTTTCACTTAGCGACTGCTTAGCTTGATGACTGAGTTGCTGTCCCAATTGTGGTCGCTAAACAAGGACTACCTGTACTATAAAAGAATCTGATGTTTTAAGAAACAGCAACAAAGATCTTAGATACAGAGTAACCAATATCCCACCAACCAAACCCTTTCTCTACCCCACAAATATATTTAAAAGTAGTTATTTTCCCTACCAGCTTTTCCCAAGTAGAAATTTCTGAAGCTAATTTTTTTGTGGGGGGGAGAGGGGGGAGGCATGCCAAAGGTAGGATGAAACAAATCTGTGGGAATAGAAGTAAAAAAAAAAGTGGAAATGGCAGTACTGTACAGTAGTGACTACATAACTGAAGCCCACTAATTTTGTATATGTCCTGCATTTCAAAAGGCAGGGTCAGTTGCATAGTTATGGCCACCATCTTTACTTTTTTGTCCTCCCCTACAGATGCCCCTATTTATAAAATAAGAAGACACTCTTTGAAGTGTAATGGCACATGGGACTGAGTTGCTGTCCCAATTGTGGTCGCTAAACAAGGACTACCTGTACTATAAAAGAATCTGATGTTTTAAGAAACAGCAACAAAGATCTTAGATACAGAGTAACCAATATCCCACCAACCAAACCCTTTCTCTACCCCACAAATATATTTAAAAGTAGTTATTTTCCCTACCAGCTTTTCCAGAAAGTAGAAATTTCTGAAGCGAATTTTTTTGTGGGGGGGGAGAGGGACAATTGGGACAGCAACCTTACATTATAAGGTTAAAAATCCAGGGGATGAAATTTGATTTTTATAGGTCATTTCAACAACCAAATGTGAGCTGCGGTCTGTGTCATCTAGTTGTCCTAGCATAGTACCTCAAGAGTTAAGAAACCAATGCAGATTTTTAGGATCATTAGAAACTTTTCTGAACAAGCAATAAGCACAGATTCTGCCGCCTGTTCTTAAAACTTTAAAAAGTTCAACGATTTTCAACTGCAATTTAATAGGAATTTTATCCACACAATATTTTTGCTCCCAAGAGGCAAATGTGAAAATATCTGCAATAAAACCAAAATGTTAAGAAACGGATTCTTATTTAACTTCCATTTTTAAAATGATTTTGTAATGGTCTGTGAGAAAGACCTCAAGAAATGGGGCAAAGAAATGCTGCCTAGGGAACAATCAGATAAGAGAGGGCATAGCCCGCAGCTGCATAATGGCTGGAGAAAGGGGCTCAGAAGGGAACCTCCTTAACTTCTCAGGCTGTAAAGGAGGTGGCGGGAGATCTGTACTTCTAGACTTGCAAGAGTCTGTTAATGTAACCTTACAGTAAAGTAGAATCAGCTCATCTGTTTGTGTTTCCTGTCTGGTCTATCTGGGAGGGATGACAGAGTTTTAAAAAAACCCCACCTTTGTATTTCAATTTGCCTTCCAATCTTGAAAAAGAAACGTATTTTTTTAATCTATACTACCAATGCATCTGTATATTTTTTTCCATTAAAATACATATTTCAAATAAAAGTTGATTTCTATAAAAAAAGGGGGGGGGGAGGGAATGTTTGCCACACTGCAGGTTATCAAAAAGGGAGATTAAAACAAAACACTACAGAAGGAATACATTGTCCCCTCTTTTGGAAAAGTAAAAGGTGGGTATAATCTACATGTACATAATTACAAAAAGAAGAAGCAAACATTTCTCCAGAAATGATCCCTGAATAGGCTGATACGATGGCATTATGACATATCATTTTGCCAGCAAAATATTCACGTACATGGTAACCTCTCAGAGACTAAAGAAATGGCCAGTGTATGATGGCACACCTAACTTCCCATATCATGGGATGTACACAAAAATATGCAAACGAAAGTCATGCACTCATAGTGCAATAACCCCCACGGATCAAGCTACACATTGCGTAGAATTTTGTGCCATGAGTGATTTCAAAAACTGCAAAGAAGGAATGCATAGCTAAGTTTAGAGGAGACCGAGTCTCCTTCCAAGGCAAATGGAGACGTTTCCCTGCTGTCAGTCACTCTTTTTTCCGAAGGTGGATATAAACAATCCCACTGATAAGAGCCAAGGGAAAGGAAAACCAGGCTAGCACGAAACAGTGACCGTAGGAGCCACCCGGCATTCGGCCACGCTGGAACGTGTCCACGTGGATAGTGTAGATCAAGGCAGCTGTGAAAACGGAGATAGCTGGGAAGAAACCCAGTAGGGAAATTAGTACTGAGTTACAGCTCCATCTTGCTTCCCCATCTTCTTTAGCATGCAACCTGAAAGATAACTACATCTTTCCCACCTGTATAGACAGTTCCTGGGGTGCAAAATCCCACCAGCCACCCGTGCAGATATGCGATAGGCATCCCAGGATCCAAGAATGATCAGCACTAGAGTTAACTGGGCAGACTGGTGGGGAACCTGTGGCGCTTTGGATGTTCCTGAACTACCGCACCCTTCTTACTGGCAGTTCTGATTGGAGTATCTAGAGGCTATTTGAAGGGCTAGGCTTTCGCACTCCTGATCTCCACTTCCCAACGGGGGCTTGCAAGGTCCTTATATTGAAAAGATAATTTGGGGCAAATGGAATGCAACCGCTTCCCAGATTCATCCAGGGTTCCAATGAAATGGCCAAACATCCCGCCAATTGTCTCTGTTAGGTTAGACCCGCATGGCTCCCTCCTGTGCTTCCCTTCTAATGTTTCTTTCTTCCAAGGCAAACATCTATGCCAGTATTTCTCAAGCTTAGCAACTTGAAGATGTGTGGACTTCAACCCCCAGAATTCCCCGGCCAGCATGGCTGGCTGGGGAATTCTGG